GGCGGGGATACCGTGCTCGGGCCGGCGCCGGGGGCGGGCACACGCCCTCCCAGGGGCCATCCCGCAGGGCACATCGGCATGCGCAATGGATCGATGCCAGCGAGGAGAGCCATGAGGCGGCAACACGCTGACCCCCTGGGGATATGGGGCCCCGGGCGAGGCGCAGCTCGTGCCCCCTGCCCCCCGGGAGTGCCTGCGGCTGTGGCTCTCGGTGCTGCTCGACCATGCGGGCCCGTCGGCGCGATGTGCGGTCCGCCCGCGGCCAGAGCCACCTGCTCCGGCCGTGGGCATATTTTCCGGCGAAACGCCCGAGCCCCCAAGTCGGGGCCGCCTTGGTGCGAAGGACAGGCCCTTTCACACATCCCTTGGCGTAATGGTGTTGTGCCATTCCCCCTCATGGAAGAGAGGCCCCCGTCGCCGGCCGCCCCCATCGGGATATGGGGGGCTCGGTCCTTGGCAGTCCGGGAAAACATGCGCCCTTGGAATATGCCGCATCCTGGCGATCTGGTTCTTGTCGCCTTGTGGCGCCCCCACTATGGCCGATGCGCCTCGCCGCCGCCGGGGGGGGGGGGGGGGGGCGTATGTCGGCCTCGCGGACCGTCGCGCCCATGCGTCGGTGGTGTGTCGGCCCCTGAAGCGAATGTCGGCATCGGGCAGGACATCGGAAGGTTGTCGGCGCCGCCAAAGTGGCTGTGCCGGCTCGGCGCAGCGAGCGCACGAAGTATCCTCCCCCCTCCCAGACACACACACATACACGTCTGGGGCCCATTCCATCCACGCATCGGGGCCCAAGTGGGCCCGGGCTCGGTCCCCCGAAGCGCGGACATGCCCTTTTTGCCGGGGATGGGCCGCCCCGACCGGTAGCAAGCCCACGCCGCCAGCTTTCCCGGATGGCGACAGGCAGCCGCGCAGCCGGGCGGGCAGATGGGCGAGCATGTCCCCCCGGTGGGGAGGCGCACCTGGCGGGGGGTGGGGGGGGGGGGGAACGCCAGCCGCGATCAATGGGGAGACATTGTGCAAGGGTAACGGTAAAGAAGGACAAAGGGGAGCAATCACCAAAGCATG